AATCATTCTACACACTGTCATAAAACATAGCTTCGCCATGAACTTAATGCCAAAGGCCACAGGCAGTAACACAAACATACACATGCTCAGAGAAACATGCATACATATACAAAGATACTCACTGCCAGACACACACTCTCAGGCACACACAGGTAGACAATGCAACGACGTATACAAAGACTAGTTCTCTATATCCAGTACTGCAAGCCCGCCCTTCAATATATCTACAGCTTCTTATACACACACAAGTCAACTGCTGTTTTTTTCCAATAATGGTGTTAGTGGGGGCCTCATGTATGAGTTTCGCCTAGGCCTCGCCAAGTCTAGAGCCGCCACTGACTGTGGGACTTGCAAGTCCCCAAAGAGCCGTGAATTACGATTGGTAATCTTGTACTAGTGAATACAGGACATGCAAGTCCCCATTATTTTTGAATCCATGGGTTTGCAAAACCCTAGTTCTGAGCCAATATCAAAACAATAAGGTAGGTCATGTTTCAGTGTGTCCAAATAGTTAATCTGTGAGCAATGTGACATATGTAAATAATGTACAGGCATAATGTATATAATACACACATACATGCCACCTATATGGACAGGTGGCAATGAGAAAACGCCTGCGGCCTAGATAAAAGCGAAACGTCAGAAAATAAAAGTAATGTATTATTTTTATAGCAAGTCCCTAGAGAGCTTTTTTTGAAACATTTTTTTTATTATTTTCTATCTTTTTTTTTTGCATATAAGCACTGGGCACTAAGATTGAGTATTCTGGAGTGCAGGCTTTTGGATTTTTGTACATTCAGGATCCAGGATAGAGCCTTTCTTTGCACCTAATAATTTTTTGCAGTAGCTGTTTTGCCACACATTATTTTTTTTATTATGTGACCATTGTGCCTGACATCATATAAAGAACTTTTGACCTATATCTATGGAAGAACATTTTGCACTGGTGAGAGGTTTAGCTGAACAACCATAGATCTGACAAAATAAAGATGAGGATGCAGAATGGATTAGATAAGGTGCAACCACCACAGATATTTCCAACACAACATCATTAAGCGATATCTGCCTGAAACGTTTACGCTTAAGTTAAAGAGAAACAGACTGGATTTACAAGGTCTTTTCCTAATTTCCTAATATGTTAAGAAGCTACAGATACGATTTTAGAACATAACTACAATTGGCCGTTTGAAGCCCAAGGTGTGTAAAACATTAATATCAGTCCTAAATAAATGTTCATTAGACATAATGGTCATAATAATTAAGAATGTTAAATAAGACTTGATAGCAGTGAGAAAGGATCACTGAACACAAACTGTACTTCTTTCCTTGAATGCAGGAAAATATGACATACTTGATTAGATTCAAAAGAGAAAAGCAAGAAAAGAGTCTGCTGCTAGCTTCAAACAACATTCCAATACCACTAAGAGGAATTGGCAAACAATTAACTCCTTGGCTAAGAACATCAAACCAGCAGATAAGGGTGTAGGAACTGTAATTCAAAATTATACATAATACCGCTTGGACATAATTTCACAATTCAGTGACCATAGCATAGGAATGACCCCCAGGAATCGTACAGATAGTCAATCATATCCTGCAGAGGGGATTAGAAGCCAACTTCTGTAATATGCAGTTGTACCACTATCTTACATAATCCACACCAAGAACTGCAGTGATATACATGCTACCTAAAACGCACAAGGACACTAAAAGACCACCAGGGAGACCAATAGTGTCCACCACAGGGGCTGTTATTGAACTTATTGCCAAGTGCCAGAATCTTTCAACATTTCCCAGCGGAATGTACAGTACTAACTACTTATGATGTTAAAAGCTTGTATATGCTGAATCCACGTAAAAGGGCATTAAGAGGTCCTAATAAACTCAGAATATTACCACGGCCCTTCTGTTGATATGTTCAGGAGCTATTGGAGCTCATCTCAACCTAAAATTACTTTAGATTTGAGGCACAAGGATTTACACACATCTTACACAAACAACATTATACTATACCAAAGATACATTGATGACATTTTAATGATTTGTAAAGGGGAAAACACTACCGCAGACACAATGATTCGCATAATCAATAAGGCCAGCTCAAATATCCAAATGTGAATGTGGATCCAGAGACGGACTTTCTGGAGATTCGCATTTATAGGAGAGGCACAACATTGACAAATGCATTATATACAAACACAAAATAAAGAAATAAAGTAAACAGAGTGCAGGTCAAGAGTCCGGATACAAGTCAAGGACTCGTGAGCTGCACCACTGTAACCACCTAATGGGGAGCACCAATAAGGGGGGAATTCTCCAAAATATGCAGGAAATAGGAGAAAGTTATATATAGAATGCCACAAGGGGAAACAAACAGCAGGAGAGCTCCACTGGTATAAGAAATGAGGAAGGGAAACCCTACCTTTAATCAATCTAAGGATAAAAATGGATATGCAAACAAAAAGTATAACTTGAAAAAAGGGAGATTGTGACAGAGCTCCCTGTACCCAGACTGGGTACCTCCGCCAAAGCACCGCTTCCTAGCTGGAACAGGAGACAAGCCTTTCTAAGTGTTGTAGAATTGAACCCAGGCGATCATGGATGTCCAGTGGTATTCGGGAGTTTCAGTGTCCGAAAATAGTTCCATGAACTCGACGACCAAACACTGCTGCCTGGTTTCATGAGAACAAGATGGCCGCCACCTTGTGGTCGTCCATAGAAATTGCGGCCACCCAGATGAACACTTAGAACACAGTGGTGGAAATTGCTACAAAGTATCATAGGCTTAACAAGCTCCAGCGTGGTCTCCGGTTCGTGTGGCTGTTCAGTTCCCGAACCATATACACAAACTGAGACTTTTAGATCACATTTTACAGGGTCCATAGTCTGTGGGCAGGAGGCTGGCAAGCAGGCTCCTCCAGGAACTCATGGCAAACTCACTTGGAAAGGGGAGTTTGTCACAGAGATCTACTAAACGTCCATTATCTGGAGTACTAAATAGCATCTAAACTCAAGTTCCCCTAATGTCCGACTGCAGGGAAGGTAATGTAAAATAGGTTAGGGAGAGAGAAAAGACACAGGGTCCACAGAGAACAAGGGATCAGAGTTCACGGTCGACATCAGGGGGGTGAGTACACTTTTATCTTCTTTTGTTGAAATGTACATTGTTGATTGCATTGTTCTGTCCTGATGAAAATTTTCTAGATAAAACTAAAATATCAAAATATTTTTTAATGAACAAAGAAATGTTTTTGATAATTTTAAGCACTGGACACTATTAATTAAATAGTTAAATATTTTAGGATATAGATATAGAATAGATATTTCTACAAATCTAAAATTCATATATATGGTTATAACCCCCACCGGTCCAAATGGGGGGGTGGATACAGGGCTCGGGCCCAGTGCAGCCTGCAGAGTCCTGCTGAGGAGGTCGGCCGCAACTCCCAACTGGACCCCCTCTAGGCTGAGGGTCAAACAGGTCGGTACACTGCCACAGCAAACTTCAGGGAGCCTCTGAGGGGTACCCAGCAGCATCTGGACATCTCCAAACATAAGTTCCATTAAATTCAGCAGTCGGGTATTGTAACGGACCGTTTTGCTCACCAGAGGTTAAAAACTGTTTAGGCGATATTCCCCTTTCCAGATACACCGACAGCTACTGTAAGCACCGATCTCCCGAACTGGAAACACATGAACACTGGAAATATCCGAACAGGAAAACCATACGAAAGGGTTACACTCCTGGCAGTCAGCATACAATCCAATTCCCCCAATAACGAGACAACACTTCGTTTTGAGGGTTAAGCAGAATCTTGAGGGCCCACACCACCGCCAGGCATTCTTTCTCGATGGCGGCATAGCTTACTTCCCTGGGTAATAGTTTTCAGCTCAAGTAAGCGACCGGGTGTTCACCGCCATCGGCCCCAACCTGGCTCAGCACTGCTCCCAATCCAAACATAGAAGCATCTGTATGAATGAGAAAGCGTTTAGTTGGATCGGGAGCGGCAAGTACAGGTGCATGCATTAGGGCAGTTTTCAGTTCTTGGAATGCCTGTTCACACTCTGGGCTCCAGGTAACTATCTTGGGGAGGTTCTTCTTGGTAAGGTCTGTAAGGGGCTTGGCTATGGCACTATAATTGGGCACAAATTTCCGGTAACATCCGGTGGTCCCTAGAAAAGCTAGGACCTGGGACCACTTGGCTACGGCCTCTATCTTGGCGGGTTCAGGTTTCTGCTGCCCATTTCCTACCAGGTGCCCTAAGTATTGTACTTCAGCCATCCCTATATGGCATTTGCTGGGTTTCAAAGTTAGGCCTGCCTCCCTGATGCGATCGAGGATGGCTCCTATATGGGTTAAATGCTCGGCCCAGGAGTTGCTAAATATCGCTATATCATCTAAGTAGGTGCAAGCATACTCCTGGGATCCGTCCAGTAACCGATCCACCATCCTCTGAAAGGTAGCCGGAGCATTCTTCATCCCGAAGTGCATTACCTTAAATTGGTATAGCCCAAATGGGGTGACGAATGCGGACTTTGGGATGGCATCCTCGGCTAGTGGTATCTGCCAGTACCCCTTGCACAAGTATATGGTTGTGAGGTACTGGCCTCTGGCCATTTTATCTAGGAGCTCGTTGATTCGGGGCATAGGGTAGGCATCTGAGATCGTCTTATCATT